TCACAATTCTCTTGCGTCCATTCTAATCCAAAGACAAGAAAGAATCCTTTCTGATGGGTGAGAGTCCACTGACATTGCTGCTATTAAACACCAATCCCAGTCTCTGAGCAGCAGCCAAACCCTTAGGCTGCCCCCTTGTATGTGAAGAGGGGCTTCAGTCACTCTTTATTTTGAGTCTTTCTTTCCCTGAGGGGAAAGTTCAGGTCTCGGTTCTCAGGTCCAATATTTTAATCAAAATGAGTTCTGTGTCCCAAGGAGCAAAACAGTCAAATGTTCAGTCTGTGTTTCTAGTCTGGTTCCAAATAAACAGAATTCAGACTGCAGCAGGTTCTGGTCATCATGACTGCTGCAGCAGGGCCTCAGTGGTCCAGAAGCAGCCCAGCATCCCACACCACAGAATGGCTCTCAGATGAGGCACTCCTCTCTGTGGGGGTGGGGAAGGCAGGACCACGGGCTCTCACTCCGACTCCTCTATGGGGGGTTTGCAGCTATGATGTCATCATGACTGCCACTTCTTTCTGTTCATGCAGTCATCTCATCCAGCTTTATTTCTTCCTGTGAAAAAAATCACAAACACATCCTCAACCCCAAATCAATACAGGGTCAGGCCTTTTTATAATCCAGTGCAAGGGCTTTTTTAAACCTTGCTTTATCAAAGGTTGCCTTGGTGTCATCATGGCAGAATCTTTTTGTCTGCAGCAGGTCTGCTCATGGATACCCATAAAGAGGGTCTGCCTTAAGGCATTATGTGGCGATTCTTAGTTCTCCTGTTTTTATCATTTTAAGTTGTTTTTAAGGAGCCATGGCATGCTCCACAATTACTTCTTACCATTAGCAATAATATACAAAGCTCTTCCATTGGAAGAGCCATCTGTAAAATTTAGCATAGCATCCTGTAAGGGATCTTTTGCTATAACATAAGGAAAATACATAGTTATGCGGATTGCAGCAATGATCAGCTGGGAAAAGTTTATTAATCAGGCCTTTAAATTGAGCAAATTTAATTGCCCAAGAATCATTACAATTATAAATTAATCTGTTGCTTAGTATAAGAAGCAATGACCATAGCCAGTTCCTAACCAAAAATACCTCCTAGATTCCAGACTGCTCTTCTGTACTAAAGAAGCTACTGCTTCAAACTAAGAGTTTAATATTCTAACTGGCAAAGCTGTTGTAGAGTAAGTTTTGTGAGTAATAGACATGCTTGCCAAAGCTGATCATATTTGTTGTTTCTGTATAGCATACTCTGCCTGCTTGGGTACCTGTCTGGCATCTTCTGTAAACTGTCTACTGGAATTTGGATCATTGCTCTCTTTAAGAATTTTAACTTAGTGGCTCAAGGTCTCCCATGGATATTTTAAATAAGGTCTCAGCATAAGACATTTATAAACTATCTTTCTTCTAATCCAAATTGCAAGTCTGCCTGCCTGACAGGAAAATGGAAAAGAACCCTTCCACAACCCCTTATAAGGTTTCCTTACCACCTGTATGATTGTCACCTCTGTGGATGAGCCGTCATTTCTCTTTCTCAAGAGGTTTCTGTTTTTCAAACTGAATCTTTAATTTTGAAGATATCCATAGCTTTTATTCTCCAGTGGAGACAAGAGCAAAACCCCTTCTCCAACAGAGCACATCATCTGGTTTCCACTGTGAGGTTAACACATCCTTGAATTATACTGGCTGATTTAGGTCAGAAGTTTTTTCTAATAGCCAATGTCTCTCTATTGTCATTGTTCCTTTATCATTAGCATTAAGAAAATTTAAGGTTAATAAAGCATCATGCAATCTATTTCCAGGGGATTTTCCATCCCTTTCTGTTTGTTCAGCATATCCTTTATAGTTCGATTTGATCTTTCTATAACTGCCTGACCTGTAGGATTATTTGGTATACCTGTAGTATGCTTTATATGATAATCAGTGAAAAACTGTCTCATTTTCTTAGACACATATGCTGAACCATTGTCTGTCCTTATTTATGCAGGTATACCCATGGTGACCATAACTTCTAATAAATATATAATTACTGAATTAGCCTTTTCTGAGCTCAAGGCAGTTGCCCATTTAAAACCTGAATAAGTGTCAATGGTGTGGTATACATATTTTAATTTTCCAAATTCTGTAAAGTGGAACACATCCATCTGCAAGATCCCATTCCTTTGAGTACCCTTTGGGTTATTCCCTGCAGGTAATGGTGTTTGATTATAGAAAGATCAAGTAGGACATCTCTTTATAATCTCCTTAGCTTGTTGCCATATAATGGAAAACTCTTCCTTTAAACTTTTGCTATTGACATGATGTTTCTTATGAAATTCTGAGGCCTGAAACACACTCCCAATCAATAATTGATCAATAGCTACATTTATAATATAAGAGACCACACCCAAGTGGGCTGCTATCTTAAAGGCTATTGGCTGAAGGAGCTGAAGGAGCTCCCACAGCACCTGTATATGTTTTCAAAGTCAAACTTAAAATAAGTAACTAGACACAAAGTTTGTCTAATCAGATATACATAGAGAACTCTCATACTTCAGAGACCTGCAGATTACGGCATTCAGAATAATGATTTAAAAGCTCATTATAATTAGACAGAGGTTCTGAGATCCTAGCAGTAACTCAAGGTCTCCAAAAAAGATTATGGGACACCATGATGTCTCCACCTGGATTATGATGATGCCGACCACTGGCTGAGATGCCCCAGTGCAACACCTGCTGCCAGGACCCTGTCCAGACTGTGGACAAAAAACAGGACATTGGGAAATTTATTGCATCACTTTTGCCTAGACAAAATAAGGTCAGTCTTTTCCATGCCCCTCTTTCACAGGAAAAAATATTCACCTTCTGGGCCTGGCTAAGACTATAAGACTTATGTTCTGGATACGTCTGCCTCCAATGCTAGGAGACCTGGGTATGACTAACTGTATATGGACTCTAGTCCTTGTCATTTTTAATAGATTCAGAAACTACTTGGTCTGCACTCAGATATACTTTATCCTTCTTGGATCTCTGATCGTATTGATGGCTAGGTCAGCTATAATGTTGTCAATTTAGCAGCAAAAGGTATCCAGATAATTCCACATAGTTCTCTCTCTCTCTCTCTCTCTCTCTCTTTCTCTCCATGTATATATCAAGTCTTGCTTTCTCAAAAGCTACTAGATCTCTTGAAAAAACGTTTTAAGGTCTGAAGATAAACAAGTTCACAAGCTCTGAGGGTTGAAAAAATGACTGGAGATGTATATACAGGTTAAGATATGGGAAATGTTTCTGATGTCTTTCATTGGAATAGTTCCAATACGCTGATAGAGGAATGACTTCTTACTGTTTGGGTCACAAGATTAAGATTTTAGATTTATTCTAGTTGTCATTTAAATATGAACTAAAAGGTGTTTCTCATCAAGCCAAAGGCATCTCTGTCCAATCCATACATAGTTCTCTTGACAGCAGAATATATACATGTTTCTAACCAAAATATATAGTTTTTGCTAGGACCCAAAGTTATGAGTCTGTACCTGCTGTTTACAGATACCCGTTATCTGCTCTTTTTCTACAATATGGATTTCAATAATCTATTATTTTTCTTTAAGTACATAAATTTTAACTTCTGTTTCTATTTTACACTTATCTCAACAGGCTTTCACTTGGCTGGCAGATGCATCTAGGCATCAGTTGCTGACTACAACCTGCGCTGAGTGACTGTGAGCCCTGGACTTGATGAAAACTGATGTGAACCAGTCCAGCTGATGTGAATGCTCCCTGTCTCTTCAAAAGAGTCTGTGAACCAGATGCTTCTAATGAGTGCCCCATTTTCTGAATTCCCTCCTTACTTTTGGCTAGCCTTTCAGCCTACTTTGGCCCTGATAACAATGCCCCAATGTCAGCTTGACATAGTTGCAGAAAGGAACATGTCATCCCATGCTCCCTGCCCAGAATAGGTTGAAAAGCTGAGACAAAGGGGAACTCCCTGGCATGGGGGACAAAATGGCTACCTATAGTGCCAGTTGATATACCAGAAAATAGGCCCAAAGTTGTCAATGAATGGATTTATTAATTTCGTTCTTAGTTCCCAATGATACCTCCTTAAAACCATGGGCAAGCAGGACCCATGATTTGGTCCTGTCATCCGTGCTTGTAAATGGGAAAGTATAGGACTCAGCCATAATAAGCTTAATAGGAACAGACCACCCAAAATGTTCTTAACTTCCAACCATTATCACCTGCCAGTGTAGGACCTAGCTAGCCATGACAAGCTTACTGGAGGCCTGAGTCTCAGGAGTTTACCCTGAGGTAATGCCTGGTTACAGGAATGACCACAACCTGAGATTACCCAGGCACCACCCAGGAAGAGACCATCCAAAGGAAATTCCTAATGTTCCAACCATTGTAGATAGGATCACCTGACACCACACACTCACCTCACCAGGACACCCCTAGACAATTGTCAGCCAATCAGGAGTCCTGATGCCTAGAAATCCCTCATCCTCACCTTTACTACTATAAAAACCCAACTCTAACTGAGCTTGGGGCTCTTCAATTATTTCAATATGTTGAACACACAGAAAGACCAAGTTTGCAAACTTGTATAAAATGATGGCTCTTTGCTTTTATATATGGTACTCGGTCTTCTTGTTGGTTTTTGGGGGACTTCGCAGATCTGGACATGACATGCATAGACCAAGCTAACCACTAACTTACAGAGGCTCTACAGTCTCTGCCTCCCAAGGGCTGGGATTGGAGGCTTGGGCACTCAGGCCAGGCTGACTGCCCTTTTAAGAGGGAATTGCCAGTTTCAGAGGGGGGACCTTACTACTGAATCTCTAGCCAGCAACTGATGGTGCTGGTCTGCTCTGCTGATGATTGGCTAATTACACTGACTTTACCCAATCAGCATCAAAGCAGTGATTCCCCTGGTTCTTAACTATCCTAGCAATGGGTAAAGAGAGGACATAGTTTCTTCTGTGTATGCTTGTCTGCTCCTCCTATTCTGATCTTTTCTCTCCTTCAGCATGATGAAACCGTGGCTCCTCAGAAGCCCCTGGGTGGCAGCTGTGGTCCTGACACTGATGGTGCTGAGCTCTTCCATGGCTTTGATCAGGGACCCCCGACGTAAGTGCACACCTCAGGTGCTGAGCTGCTGGGGGTGGGGGAGGAAGGGGCCGACTTCTCACTGTCCAGGTCAAGCTCCTTGAATCTACCGATATTTTCTGTGACCACCCACACTGAAAGTCCTCACTTGAAATCCAAACTGTTTCCCCAAATGGAAGCCCAGATGCCCGTGCTCTCAGATCTGTGTGAGAGGCCCCACGTATCAGCCATTGCTTTCCAGTTTCTTCCTGGAGCATCTCCAGCCTTGTGTCACAGTCCTCAGGGCCTGGAGAGGATTGATAATCATGATGTTAAATCAACCCCTGCACAGGGCTTGTCCTCATTGTGTTGAGCTATGCCAGACAAAGAGGTTTCTCGTTAAAAATAGAACTTCATGTGTGTGTTTGTATTCTATTTAGTATATATGTTTATTTTATTTTATTTTCAATAAAAAAGACCAATATTGAAGTGATTAAAAGATTCCCCTGGAAGTGTCACAGAGTCACAGTAACAGGCTGAGCATCCCAGGGGGATCCCTGCGCATCCTCTGCCCGCCCTGAAGCCACTTCCTGGGCACCTGGGAGGCTGAGCCCAGGGCTCAGTTTTTCTCTCTCCCTGACTCCAGTGTCTGTGCAGCCTGCTCCTGCATGAGGACCCTGAAGGGTGATGCGTTAGTTCCCATTCTACTCGGGAGCACAGGGCAGCTAAGGCAGCCTTAGAGAGCATGGGCTGTGTGAGCTGTCTCAAAGTCTGTGAAGCCTCTTCTGAGAACCTGGGGCAGGTTAAAGCCCATTTGATATTTGTGATTTGAAACTTTCTGCATTTCATTTTCTCCTACATTCTCTCTCCTGAGTCCATGGAAAGGACCTGACTCCTCTTTGCATCTTGTGATCACTTCCAGATTCACGACCCATACCTATATCACACAGAGAAAAATCAAAGTCTGGGGTCTGCATATGGGATATGAAAGATGGGGTTATTGACACTCCTAAGATGTGACCCCAAATGCTGGGACTGTGGCCGAGCCGTCTGAGCCCTCTCTGCTTTAATTGATGAAAATGGGGAAGGGAGGATGGTTTCCATAGAGATGTTTAGGGATCGGGAGGGATGGCCGTGTAGAGCACTAGGGGCTGCTGCTCACTGTGTTTTCTCTCTGTGTTATCATCTCAGGCATCAAAGGACGCAGAAGCTTTCATGCGGCCTCTTACCTCCTTGTTCCACTCCACAGAACAGGCTCCTACCCTGGCATTATTGTTGTTATTGAAATTACCTGGCGTGAGTGAGAAGGAAACATGGAACACGCGACAAACCTGCTTAGGAATTTTTTAGAGGGAGTGTTACAGGCCTGGGGAAGTCAGTGTGCAGCTGATTCATATGTGGATGATGTAATCCACCATGCACGTGGATCACGCAGGGCCCTTTAACATCCTCGGGGGCCATTAGGCACTTCTGCCTGAGGGCTTCTCTGCACATGCATGGCCCCTAGAACCCAGAAGTATCACCCTTATTGCGGCTGAAATCATTACAGTTACGATTCTTGCCACACAGCGTGGCTGGCACTTCCAGGTTCCAGGGCACGTGCAGAGAAGTGCTCAGGCAAAATACTTAGTCACCCCCGGGGACCTTAAAAGGCCCTGCGTGACCTATACGTGGTATGGTTGCATCACCTATGTATGACGCAGCTACGTAAACCCTCGCCATGCATTCATGAGCTCCGTCATCTGTACATGACATCGCTATGTCAGCCACCTGTGCTGTGGTAGGCAGCCTGTAAAGGCTGGCCGCACACCGACTTCACCACGCCTCTTCACGTGTCTCTAATAAACTCTTGATCAGGTTTGTTGCATCCTCGTGCTTTGTTCTCACTCGCCGGGTAATTTCAATTGCCCTTCACACAGACTATTCTTTTGAAGATTTATTTATTAATGTAGGAAGACTCTATCTGCATCTACACCTTTATGCCAGAAGAGGGCATCAGATCCCACTGTAGATGGTTGGGAGCCACCATGTGATGCTGGTACTTAAACTCATGACCTCTGGAAGAGCAGCCAGTGCTCTTAACCACTGAGCCATCTCTCTAGTTCCATCAAGATAACTCTTCTGAAACTGTCATTTTCCCTCCATTTTGTAAAGTATAAATCAGTGACGTCTCAAAACACCGAGATCAGAAATAAACTCTCTGAAACTCTCAGCAGTCTCTTTCTCTCTCACAGCCCTGAGGAGTGATGACCGCCACAGGTATTGTCCCACAAAATGCCCTGAACTTCTTCATCTTTCTGTGTATTTGGGACATGATGATGTCTGGTGCTCACATGTATTTGAGTTACTGTTAACAGGTCTCTTCTACATTTTCTGAGCTAGATTATGTATGAGAAGAAAAACTATACATCTGAATGTCTTGCCCCATCTCTATTGAAACTTCAGACTGACACCCTCACCTGTCCCTGGGGTCACACTTGACATCTGATTTTAAAAGATCTGGCTTGTGAATTCTCTGGGTCTGTAATTTAGACAATGGAATTGTGGGTCAGTGTTGGGATCATGGTTTTCATTTCCACAAACTTCTCCAGTAGTTTTCAGAAGTTCCCGTCAACCCCACAGCTTCCAAGTTGGGCTCCTCTTGACCCCACTCTCATCCCGCCCCTTCCTCCGCCCTCACGCCCTGTGCACTGTTGATCATGAACTCAGGTTGGCAGGAGGTGTTGTCTCAGCTGAGATGCGCCCCCTCCCCTGACACTGACAGTCCCCACCCTCTTCTTCTGCTCCCATCTGTAACACATCTTCACTGTCACTCCCCAGAGAGCTTCTCTGTCCCCTCCTGTCACTCAAGTCTCCCTGTTAGTGGAACTCCACCCCCTCTCCTATTTGTTCCTCACTCTCACAATTTAAGCTCCAAAGTGGAGGGGCCAGCCTCTGTTTTCCCTCTGTGGATCCCCTGGGTCAGCACAGGTCAGCACTGAGGGAGATTTCCCGTTCCTTCTGCTGTGTTTATGGAAGAATCAAGATCATGAGGGATGGAAGGAGTGGTGTCTTCTGAGTGGTGAGCGCTGGCTTCCTGCTCAGCTCCAGGTGGGGCAGCTGTGGGACCAGAGAGACGAACATTTGCTGAGCCCTCTCCTCTTTAATACCAGAGGTACATCTGTCGGGTGCTCATCTGTGAGGGGTGCATCTGGACACAGGCACCAGTCCCTCCTGCATGGCCCGTGACAGGATTGTTCTCTTCTCAAGTCTATTCCCAAATGGGACTTTTTCCCTTGGGGCCATGGTACAAGCAGCAACATTCAGCCATAACTGAGCAGGGGACACTTGCCTTGACCAAGTGTGTGTGACAGGGAAGCCCAGAGGCTGGAGCCCTAGGCAGGAACCATGGACAACAGTGGAGTGCTGAGGTGTGAGGAATAGTCTTCCCCAGGGAGGAGCACACCAACTGCTTATCCAGTCCCAGATGATCAGCCCTGAAAACACACATTCAAGTAACATTATGCAGATGAGAAGGGTGTGTTCATGTATTTAGGAAAGTATAAGTATATGCATATATGTATGTAACCATTAATAACAAAAGAGGCCATGAATTTGAAAGAGAACAAGAAAGCTTATGTAGGAAGACTGGGGGGTGTCAATGATACAACTATATCACACTCACAAAAACTAAGAGTCTCACTGGCTGTATAAACCACACTGAAGGGCAGAGCCCCTGCCGAGCAGTAGCTGTTCCAACACAAAGTGAGCTCAATGATATTCTTGGCTCTCTCTCTCTCTCTCTCTCTCTCCCTCCCTCCCTCCCTCCCTCCCTCTCTCCCCTCCCTCTCCTCCTCCTCACCATACAGGAATTTTGCTCATATATTATGGTTCAAGGTTTTGTGGCTTTTATTTTATTCCTGTGAGTGTGAATGTGTGTGTGTTGTTCTATACTAATTTTTTCTTTTGTCTTACTTGCCTATTTGTTTCTAGTGGGAGAGAGAAAGAAAGATTAAGGATTTGGGTGGGCAAAGAGGTGGGGAAGATCTGTGGGAGCTGAGGGAGGGAAACCTGTGATCAAAATATTTTATATGAAAAAGTCTATTTTCAATAGTAATGAAAAGAATATCATGGGAGGCAAAATGGCCAATCAGCCTCTGCATCCTCTCAGGATCAGGAGATCATAGATGAGGGCTTAAAAAAAAGTGTGGACACCTCCTCTCCTGTTAAGTCTGGATGCTGTAAACTCAGTTTGCCCTGTTTGGTTGATATTCATGGGACCCTGCCTTTTTTCTGAAGAGAAAGGAGAGGAGGGGTGCATAAGGAGGGCGGGGAAGGGACTGGGAGGAGAGGAGGGAGGGGAAACTTCTTCGGGGTGGAAAGAAAGAAAGAAAGAAAGAAAGAAAAGGAAGAAAGGGAGGGAGGGAGGGAAGAAGGAGGGAGGGAGAGGGCAAGCAGGAGGCTATGAAGGGAGAGCAATTCCTGCCTCTCCTAGGAATGGGGGAGGGGGATTTCCGGGGGTTCATCCCTCTCCCTGTTTATACCCTTGTCAACTACCAGGACCTGGCTGTGTGTCCTCTGCCCCTTGGGTTGGGTTGAAGTCAGAGGTGGGTTGGGGCGAGCCTGGGTCTGGTCATTTGTGGCCACTGAAGATCATTCTTGTCTCCATAGCTTGGTTTTTGGAACAAGTTAAACACGAGTGTCATTTCCACAACGGGACGCAGCGCGTGCGGTTTCTGGACAGATACTTCTACAACCAGGAGGAGTATGCGCGCTTTGACAGTGACGTGGGCGAGTACCACGCGGTGAACGAGCTGGGGCAGCCAGACGCTGAGTACTGGAACAGCCAGAAGGAGCTCCTGGAGCAGAAGAGGTCCCTTGTGGACACTTACTGCAGATACAACTACCAGGTTGCGGAGAGCTTCACTGTGCAGAGGAGAGGTGAGAGGTGAAGGCAAGGGGTTGGACCGGGCGCGGGGAGGGGGGCGGCGGGGTGGGGGGCACTGTGAGGGATCAGTAGGAGGGTGCGTGCATCATTGCTTGCCTGTGTGCAGGAGCCTGCAGAGACGCTGGACTCCCTGCAGCTGCAGCCACAGGTGGTTTTAAGCAGCCCAGATGGGACCTGGGAACAGAACTGTCCTCACCAGGAGCTGCAGCCCTGTTAACTCTGATCACCTCTCCAGCCCTGAGAGAATATTCAGACTGCCCAGGACAGCGAAGGGGGTGGACACTGTATAAAGATGCATCAATCTAAGCTTAAGCAGGAGGGTTAGGAGGAAGGGGTCCGACAGAGGGAGCTAAAGATGCACCCCAGGGTGTGGGCTTCCCAGCGAGAGTCACACAGAGGGAGACCTGCCCCTGGCTACAGCCCCCACAGGAAGAGCAGGCAGGGGGTTGTATTGGCATCAGCCATATACAGTGTCCGACTGTCAGTACACACCTCAAAATTTTTCTGAGAAGATTCTTTCTTTTCTCTCTCATTTGGCAAGAGACACATGAGATGGTTCTGCAGGTGCCTTGGATGGGGGTGAACTCGGGAGCCTCTACTGTTGCACAGGGTTTAGTATGTGTCCCTTCCCTGTGGTGAGTCCCTGGTGAGAAACTGCAGGTCACAGCTGGGGACAGAGAAACAGTATAGCATTTGCTGATTGTTGCTTAGCTAGAGGCTTCAGCCACCCCAGAGTGAGGCCTCTCTCTCCTCTCAGGTCCCCAGTGTTTCCTGGACTTTCCCTCCTCCCTCAGCTGAAACAATGTGTGCTGTGCTCACAAAAGCAGCTCACTGAGAATGAAGTGTCAGACTGAGCTGTGTGGGGAGTCAGGGGTGGGGAGGTTCGTGACCTGTGAATGGAAGATTCCAGAAAGAGCTGCCCCTGCAGCAGGGCTGGGGACTCAGGAGACCTTCGGTGATGTGGGGAGGTTGGAATGTTGCAGATCCACAGCCTAATCATAATTAATCCTGACCTGTCATTGGTCCCCTTAGTAGATGTTCTTTGTCCTCCTCTGTCTCTGCCTTGACATCCTGGACTTCCGAGTGAAACCTTTCAGGATGTGTGGAACTGTCAGGCACATACTTTCCCCCCCTCAGAAGCCAAGACTGTCATCAGAGCCCTGAGACCATGGCCAGTTCCCCACTGTGCTGTGACCCCGCCCACCCGATGCTCCCACGATGCGCTTGGAAGTTTATTCATCAAATCCTTCATTCTGTTATCATGAAAACATCACAGATCAATCACCATGTGGGAAAATGTAATTTGGGGTCATCTGACTCTGTGTTTTTGGGCCATGGCCACACATATTTGGCTCTAGAATCAACTGTCCCTTGTCCCCCGAGGGGACACCTGAATCACTGACTGATCACAAGGCGTCTCTGCCTTTTCTGGGCTCCTTGGTTCTAACGTCCCTGCTGTTGTTCGTTTCCTTATTCACGACTTTTACTTTACTGGACGATCCACACTCAGCCTTTAACTCACGTATCCTATTTAATGTGTCAGCATTGCTGTCTTGATGAGGAGGAGTGAGTTACAGGTCCCGTGTTCTTCTCTGTGTCACTGGGACGGTGTCTGCCTCACGTCCCCGCCTCAGCTCTGCTCTCCTGTCTGGTGTGAGAGGCTGTGGGTCTGGGAACCGAGAGACACCTGACATCCCGACACTCAGGCCCCTTCTGTGAAATGAGCCCGTGTTGGCATGTGACCTGTGGACCTGGTCCCGAACACTTTACCATCTCGGGGTTACTCAGGGTGTCACCCGGTGCCTGACAAAGTTCTGGATTTGGGGTTCTGACCAGCTGTGTTTCTTGACCTGGTCCCACATAATAAGGAGGGAGAGGAAGGGAAACTGGAGGAGCCAGGAATGGCCGCTGTGCCCCTCCAGTGTTAGAAGTTACACAGCAGAGAGAAAAGCCAGGGAGCGTGCAGGTGTGGGGATGGCAGGCTGTGGGCTCAGGTGCTGCCAGAAGTGTGGTGATTCTGGTTTGGTGTGTCCCAGTCAGGGTTATTGTTGCTGTGGTGAAACTCCATGGCCAAAGCAAATCAGGGAGGAAGGGGACTATTTAGCTTACAGTTTTATATCAATGTTCATCATCAAACAAAGTAAGGACAGGAACTCAAATGAGGCGGGAACCTGGAGGCGGGAGCTGAGGCAGAGGCCATGGAGAGGTTCTGCTTACTGGCTTGTTCCCTGCTGCTTGCTCAGCCTGCTTTCTTTAAAACCCAGGAACCACAGCCCAGGAAGGGCACCATCCATAATGGCTGGGCTTCTTCCACAACCAGGAATTGAGAGAATGTCCTACAGATTTGTTTACAGCCTGATCTGATGGAGGCATTTTATAATTTGAGGTTCCCTCCTCTCACGTGACTTCAGCTCATTTCAAATTGACATAAAAGTGCCCACCACCATGTGTGGTGTTGAAAACCCCATTTAAACAAGGTGGAGGAGGTTTTCTACAAAACTTGGGAAGATTGTAGAGAGATGAACCAAATATTGAAAGACAAAACAGAAAATGAAGGCTTCTTTGAACTACATTTAAGGGATGGAGGGAGTTTACAGTGAGCTTCCATGAGAATGGGATTGTAATGTATCCTCACGGCTGTTACACTGTGTCGGCTAGACAAAACAGTAAGAGAAAAGGCCTGGCTCCTTCAATTCAGAGAGAATTCACTCCAGCACCACCTTCTGCTGCATGCCCACTGCTCTGCAGGGGTCCGGGTGCAGACTGCAGCACAGTCCCTAAACCCTGCAGCTCACACACTGACGGGCCCTGCTGAGGAGACTGCAGCACAGTCCCTAAACCCTGCAGCTCACACACTGACGGCCCCTGCTGAGGAGACTGCAGCACAGTCCCTAAACCCTGCAGCTCACACACTGACGGCCCCTGCTGAGGAGACTGCAGCACAGTCCCTAAACCCTGCAGCTCACACACTGACGGCCCCTGCTGAGGAGACTGCAGCACAGTCTGTAAACCCTGCAGCTCACACACTGACGGCCCCTGCTGAGGAGACTGCAGCACAGTCCCTAAACCCTGCAGCTCACACACTGACGGCCCCTGCTGAGGAGACTGCAGCACAGTCTGTAAACCCTGAAGCTCACACACTGAAGGCCCCTGCTGAGGAGACTGCAGCACAGTCCCTAAACCCTGCAGCTCACACACTGACGGCCCCTGCTGAGGAGACTGCAGCACAGTCCCTAAACCCTGCAGCTCACATACTGACGGCCCCTGCTGAGGAGACTGCAGCACAGTCCCTAAACCCTGCAGCTCACACACTGACGGCCCCTGCTGAGGAGACTGCAGCACTAAACCCTGCAGCTCACACACTGACGGGCCCTGCTGAGGAGACTGCAGCACTAAACCCTGCAGCTCACACACTGACGGCCCCTGCTGAGGAGACTGCAGCACAGTCCCTAAACCCTGCAGCTCACACACTGACGGCCCCTGCTGAGGAGACAGCGGCTCCTCGGGTGACACACATAGGGGAACACTGACCGAAGATATGGTACAGTTGATTTATTCACAGTCCTGCAAAGGGAGATGAGAAAGAGTTCTCAGTAAGACTTCCTGCCTCGCACACAGAACTGCTGCCCTCTAGACACCAGAAGAGACAGAACCCAGAGACACAACTTATGTACTTAGCTGATGGAGAAATTGCAACAGCTGGGGGATAAGCTTTTCTTTCCCTACCAGGGAATCCACCTGCAGCTGGGGATTCCTCCACAGAGTGGCGCTGATAGCTAACGTGAGAAAACAGACACTAAGTCCAGACAACTGTGTTAGACTCTGAGTCCTGCTTGGACCTCAGCCTGGGTGGGTGGAGGCAGACACAGCCAACCTGGGGGGACAGCTCTGCCCTCATGACCTGTTCTCACCTCCCCTTCTCCTCTAGTTGAGCCTGTGGTAACTGTGTATCCCACAAAGACAGAGCCCCAGGAGCACCACAACCTCCTGGTCTGCTCTGTGAGCAGCTTCTACCCCAGCCAGATTGAAATCAGATGGTTCCGGAATGGCCAGGAGGAGAAGACTCGGGTCGTGTACACAGGCCTGATCCAGAATGGAGACTGGACCTTCCAGACCCTGGTGATGCTGGAGACGGTTCCTCAGAGTGGAGAGGTTTACACCTGCCAGGTGGAGCATCCCAGCCTGACCAGCCCTGCCAGAGTGGAGTGGAGTGAGTGGGAAGCTCCTCACCCTGCAAATCCCCGCCCACCAGCAAGAGGCATGGCTTACCCTGCCTGTCAGTTTTTCTGACCCTGTGAAGCCCTGTGCAACTGTGAACAGAATGGCTTATCTCTCCCTGTCAGCTTTCTCTGATCTGCAAATCCCCACCCACCTGGGAAGGAGAATGGCTTACCCCTGCCTGTCCTCTCCCTCTCTCACTCCCCCCCTCCAAATCCCTGCCCACCAGGAAGGGGAGTGGCTTACCCTGTCTGTCAGCTCTCCTTTCCCACACACTATTTCCACTGATTCTGTGCTGTCCTCTCCTTCAGTATGGCTCACAGGGGTAGGTGTGTGATCTTCCACAAGCACCTTTGCCCCTGGGAAGCAGTTATGCCATTACACTCTCCTGAGCCTTCAGTGACATCACCAGACCAAGGACCTACTTGTCCCTGGCTGCAGCCTCTGCCTCTGGCTGGGTTGTGTTTCTGCTGCTGCTCGTGGAGATGATGGACAAGAAGCAGCTTAGGGTCAAGGCTGACCTTAGGGACGTCCAGTCTCAGCTCTGCCTTTGCTTAGCTCTGTCAGCCTCAGGGCTGTGCATCCTCAGAGCTGAGGGGCTTCTGTCAGCTCCCCTCAGGGTGGTCATATTAAGTCTCTTCATGCTGTGAACTTATTGCTGTTTGATTGCTTCCAAATATCACCAAGAGTGTTCAATTCCTACTGTTCTAGGAGAAACTTCTTCCTCGGTCTTAAAGCTCTGACTGTAGGGGCCCCAAAAGGGAAACAAGATTTGGGGTGAAAACCTCTAAACCCGGCTTCCTTCTCAGGGGCTCAGTCCTCATCTGCACAGAAGAAGATGCTGAGTGGAGTCGGGGGCTTCGTGCTGGGTCTGCTCTTCCTCGGGCCTGGGCTGTTCATCTACTTCAGGAACCAGAAAGGTAAGGAGTGGAGACTGGACCTTCCAGACCCTGGTGATGCTGGAGATGGTTCCTCAGAGTGGAGAGGTTTACACCTGCCAGGTGGAGCATCCCAGCCTGACCAGCCCTGTCACAGTGGAGTGGAGTGAGTGGGAAGCTCCTGTCCCTGTGAATCCTGGTGGTGGTCAAGACTCATGGCATTTCAGAGAAGAGACATGACTTTGTTCTCAGGGTGTCTCAGGTTTCAGTTATCTCTGAACCCAACAGTCTGCAGATACTAGTACATGGTAACAAATGGGGATGGGAAATTTAATGGGATTCTGACTTGAGAAGTCAGAACAGAGGAAGAGTGGAGGAAGAGCCACTGGGCTGCTGTGTGACTGGGACTTTGAGTCCCTCTGTCTGTACACACTCCCCTCTGCCCTGGATGCTGTGGGCAGTGGTGCCAGAGGAATCTCAGAGTCTATGTTCGTGTGAGAGGAGGGGGACAGATCTGCCTCCATGCACTTAATGTCTATTTTATTCTCTTCTCTAGGAGAGTCTGGACTCCAGCTGACAGGTAACACCTTTCAGTCTTCCCTCAGAGACAGATCTGCCTTCCCTACAGTGTGGGCTGGGGTGTGAGGGACACCAGGCAGACACACAGGGGAAGATATAGATCCCAGGACACTGAGCCTTGTTTCCCGCACTTACTGAAGGCCTGTGCTCTGAAGCTCAAGAAGTTCTCTCTGCTCACTGTCTTGCAGTCAGGGAGGTGTGAGGGGGGAGAGAAGCCACTGCAGAGTTAGGTCTGGAAACTCCACTGTCCCCTGTGCTCTGCAGGACTCCTGAGCTGAGCTGAGGTGACAAGGCTGAAGGAAGGAGCTCCTCCTGTCTCCATGTCATGAAATTGTTTCCTTCTTGGCTTCAATTCCTTCACTGACAGTGTTTCCCTAGGACCTGGCTCCTCCTGGTTATGGACCCTGCAGGCCTGTTCTCCCTGATGGCCTGTTCAACCCCACCTGTGCCTACAGTCCCAGGACAGAAGTCCCCTCCCCTCCCCTGCCCTGCTTCCTTTTGTCCCCTGCCCTTTGCCTGAGTTTCTGAGCCAGGTTGCTGTGATTACACTTTCTCACATTTTTTCTCAAATAGACAAAAAAATCAAAATTACCTGCTTCATAGAGTTTCAAGGAGAAGAAATTCAGAGAAAGGAATGACCCACTGTTAGACTCTGTTTGTTCATGATATGAATGGAGGAGTGTATATATGTAGCGATTTATAATAAAGTAGGCCCACACTATCTCAGTATTGGGGATAATAAAGGTTTATTTGTTTAGGGGTTGACTCAGAGTAAAAGCAGTGATCAGCAGTCCTCTGTGTGAGCGGGGAACTGGAACTGAATCCAGCAGCCAATGGGTCTTGCATGCCTCTATGTCTGTGTATCTAGTACCTGAGACAGAGCCCAAAGTAGGCCAGCATCCAAGGGCCATTGGCTGAAGGAGTCCCCACAGTTCTCCCCTTTTGTCTAAATAAGAGAGTTCCAAACCTAATGTCAAACTATATACAATAAGAAAAAATATCAAGTATAAAAATTAGAATTATGACAACTCGTTCTGCATGATGCGAATTAGTAACTATATTGAGAGGTTCTTTAAAATCCCTTAGTACTTTGAGAATAGCATATTGATTTTTGGACAGAACTGTAAAGGCTTTGTTCCACCTTACTTAAATCTTCTGATTTGTAACCTGCCTTTTCTGATTTATTTGCATCAGTGTAGAATTATGGGCTCCAGTTATTGCTGTGTCATGTACAATGTGAGGAAGGATCCAAGTAGCTGCCTTTATAAGGTGAATTCTATCACTTTTGGGATCGTTGTTATTAATCTCTCCTAATGAAAATTAGCACAAGCCCTTTGCCAGTGTTCATTGTCTTCCCATATTTTTTAAAATTTCATCCCTAGTAAAAGGGAGTAAAATCTTGGCTGGGTTTATTCCTGCTAATTGACAAAGTCTCAGTTCCTTTGATAATTAATTCAGAGACCTTTTCCACATAAGTTTTAAATTTCTTATTCAGTTTACGTGGTAAAAGGATCTACAATAAGATAGTATCTTCCCTCTGCATTAAAATTCCTGTAGGAGAAATTTTGGAGGTAATATGACTAGAATGCCCATGTGGGTCAGCTACATCCACATAAAACCTGAGAGAGCTTGGGAAGGAATTCTAGACAAAAAAGATTCAAGTTAAGCACAGCTTATTGATGACCGCATTTTTTCGGATAGGCTCTGTTTTCTGGCAGCAAGCAGAGGCATGGCTCCATTAAGAAATCACTTCCTGACTCAGCATTAACAACAAAAGAACTTCCCAAATTCTTTAATAAACAGCAGCTTCCTGGTCCATGCTGGTAGCATGAACTCTGGTTCTTTCAGAAGGTTAGGCTATGGAGCATTTGAATGGGGTTTGTGTCCAGAATGCTACAGGTTGATTGATGGCAAAGTGGACCCGCTGTGTCCCTGGGCCTGGAGCAGAGACCATGGCTCATAGAGCTGGCATAAACATGCCTCTGCCATTGGACTGGGCAGAGCCAAAAGACAAAGCAACCTTAGTCCTAGCCAAGCTTGCTTAGCATTTAAAAAATAATAAAACACTCCTGGTCACAGAATGATAACAGATATGCAGTAAAGACAGATGCAGATAAAAAAGAAGACTTTTAAATGGGTCACAGTGTTGGATAAATTTATGTAGGCTTGGGCGAGAGAAGAAAAAGAACATATATAGCTTTAAAAAGAAGTAAATGGTTTTTAAATATAAAATAAAGTCATTAAAGAGATAGTAAAAGTAATAAAAAAGAGTACATACTCAGATTAAAGGAGAAGAAAAATAAGCCACATAAAAATGGAATATACACAGAGTCTGAAATATGCATATTATTGTATTTTCTTAAATTTTTAACTGTGAATGAGCTAAGTACAGAGTCATATTTCATTGTATGGGCTGATAAGCTAAACCAACATATTTAATTTAAAGGTATCTTGACTTCAAAGTTTGGGTCTAAGGACATGTTGCTTTGGAAAAGAAGTTCTGCTTTTGTTTCCACAGAGGATAGAAAGTTATGGATTCCTTATTGGCTAATACAGTTTGATCAAACAAGACCCTGAAGCAATGGCCCAGGTGGTCTAACATCCATAACAGCTTCAGGACTACTGGCTGAGATAGACCTACTACACAGGATACCCCATAGAAGACCTGATTAATAGTGCCCCCAATCAATAGGAAGTAGTCTAGAGAACAATGCTCAAACTCCCTAAATGATTGTTTATAAATATTTGGTTACATTTAAAGAGGGATATGCTATAGAGATGATTAATTTGCATTGGTATGGATCTGGTTTATTGATATAAATTTAAGGTTGATTTTGTTTATGTATATTTCTGCTCTTGATTAAAGTATTGTGTTTGTGCAGTTCATTTTAAAAGGTAATGTATAATTAATTAAGAAAAATGGATTAACAGATAGTCACCTTTAATAATCAAACATGTAATCATGTTAGTTAAGTTTTCTAGATGGAGAGAGATATATTTCAGATGGATAGGTATTCTTCAAATCTTTCAAAGACCTATAGAATATGGCATTTAAAACATGTTAAAAACTTAGACTTTTCTAAACAGTGAGACATGTCTGCTACTGGCAGCACCAATTACTTCAAGAGGAAGTAGGCATCAAAGAACCTCCTGCTTTATGGGAGAACTGCCAGGCATTTTTCAGGACATAAAAGAAAGCATCTGATGAACATTTTGCCTTGTCATTACAAGGCAAAACATCTTCAAATTTCCTTCTTCACTGAAAAGTCTGCCAGATATTATGGGCCTATTGACTGAAGATGGATGCCCCAAGGTTAATGAAGAACTTTGGGTTACTTTCCAGGCAGCAAGATGTCTCTGTCAATTCTAGAGTGTTGGAAGTTGCTTACAATGCACTTTCTGTTTACTTCGGTAATATATCCTTCTGGAGTCTTTGCTGGAAAACGTTTGACTTTTAATACTAAATCTGATGATTTCTCAGTTTGTTCACCTATGGCATCAATTCTCTGTCCCTGTGGTTGTGCCCCACATTGGGCACCAAATTTGTTTAAAATAAATCTTTTATTCTATTTTTATCAATAATGATTCAGGAGTCAGATGCTGGAGTGAAAAACCTGCTTGTTCAGAGAGTCAGAAACAGCACCCAGCGGCTTCCTCCTCCACCATCAGCCCAGAAAGAGAGGTTACTCCTAAGCCATCTCAAACAAACTCCTCCAACTGGTGGACCCTCCCTTTTACTTCCTACACATCTCTCTATCCTTCTTCCTGACTCCCTCTTACTCTCTATGGCTATTTCCTGTCAACTGGATGCTTGCTCCAGCTTTTGACATATTGACTTTATTTAATCCTGTCTACAATAGTCAAACAGAAAGCACCTGGATTAAAGGTGTGTGCTAGGCCTGAGCCATACCACAGCTAGAAGCAGGTTTTTCCAGCAAATAATGAAATCTTGATGTTCATAGAGTGATTAAATATTGATAAATGCAACTTTGGTATATAAAAGTAATATAAATATAACAGCTGTGATGGCTATTCTTGGTTGTCAACTTAACTCTACCTGGGATGAACTACAATCCAGAAATGGGGGGCATGACCGTGAGATATTTTCTGCTTGGTTTGAAATGTGTGAATTCACTTCTCGTTCAGATCTTTGAAGCACAAAACACACACACACACCTTTGATCTGGATCTTGAGGCAGGAAGACACAAGCTTTTATTTAAATCTTGAGTCCTGAAGACCTTTAATATGGGTCATATATTCTGCTGAGATTCTATATGACAGAAAAGCAGAAAAGTTTTGCTCTTTGTCTGCTTGCCCTCACCTGGCTAGCACATCCATTCCTTCAATGGCTTTGGAGCTTTGCCAGTAAAGGGTAAACCAGATCTTCTAACTCCCTGCTTCACTGAGAAGTCTTCCAGGTACTCTGGGCCTGTAGACTGAAGATGGATGCCCTAACATTACAAAAGAACTCTGCGTGACTGTCCATGCAGCGAAACATCTCTGTTAACTCTAGAGTTTTGGAAGTTGCTTACAATGCACTTCCCGTTTACTTAGGTAATATTATATCCTTCTGGGGTCTTTGATGGAGTTGAAGACTATATAGTTATAATTATGGTTTTCCTAAGCTATGATAAAAGATAAATTAGATATAAAATTTTAAACTCACAAAGATAGGAAAAATGATAAAGAAATTTCTTTAATTTTTCCAAATACAAATAGACTAAATATTGTTAACTGTAATTCTTGCTTGATACCTCTTTTGTCATATGTAATTTTTCTACATTAAAGTTAAAACCTTCCTTTTTAACTAGACAGAAAATAGGAGATGATGTTGGACGCCCTTTCGCATGCTACAAATTATGTGTTGCTTTTATTAGTTAATGTATAAAGCTGTTTTGGACAATGTCCAAGCAGACTAAAACCAGAAAGAAAAGTCAGAGAGAGAGAGAGGAAAGAGAGAATGAGAGAGAATGAGAGAAAGAGACACACACAGAGAGAAATGCACCAGAGACAAGAAAATATGAGACCATGTAGATGCTGTGGAAGCAAGACATGAGGCAACAAG